GAATCTGTGTTAGGAGACAGCACAGCTTTGCACACAAACATTTATAGTGTGTAAATTTGAAACTGTACATGAGAAAATTGAATCCAGGTGCACTTACGTGTACATTTCTTGCAAACATACTTGGGTTTATTTAGCTATGTTGCCAGTGAAAGTACTTCCAATTATTAACCAATGTGATTCTCATGGGCCAATGTAAGTGAACAAAACAGTCAGCCCTGCTGACTGATGAAGAAAATGCTATCATCACTTAACATGATCAGGCAATTCAGGAATTCCAAGTACAGCCCAGCTGCCAAATATCTTACCCAGAATGGGTGTTTATAAATAGAAGATAACAATGGTGTATTTAAATTACCACTTAAAGTGACAATTTTGTACCTGTCCCTTGCTACTGCATCTAACTGAATGATTATACATTTTTAGCAAATGCACGACTACAATCATTACAGTTTTCTTTTAAACAGTATTTCTCTGCTACTCCTTTATCCTATGAGCTTTCAAGCTCCGTGACATATGGTAGCACTACCTGAGCTCTACAATCCATCTTTCCTTCCTCCCATTTGCTTTAGAAGATACTCTGTGACAGAATTTTTCTAACTGACAAATAAGCCTGTACAGACCAGGAAAATCTGTACTTTTTCAAAAGTAAAAATGACCTCTAAGGTATTTAAAGGATTATGTTAAAAAAAGACTTTGCTATTAAAATAGAATCTCATGTGTGGAGCGTCCTAGATAAATGTCTAAGATACTATTGAGCATTTCACAGTGTCCTCATTCAGCCGAACTTGTGACACTGCACAAAGAGTAAATTGTTGGCCACTGAATTGTAATGACTTTCACTCATCTGGTCTGCTTTGGGAATGTATTCTTGGTTACAAAATCTAGTTCAATGAGGGTTTGCACATCTGAGAATTGAAGAAGACAGGCACCAGAGCTGAGGGCAGTTTAGGATTATAAAGCATTTCTCCATCTTCGCTAGAGACCTGTACTGAGTGCCTTTTGATTCACATGATGTGCCTAACATCTGACACAAGCAATCTTTAAAAGACAAGGTTGGTATTTTCAAACACTGCCAGAAGACGTCCCAATGACAATGTCTGGAACAGAGAGACTGAGTGTTTGAATGTGCACAGAGTTTATCAGAAACCAAAGCTGAACTGCCAGGACTCTCAGTTATGCTCAAAATCACATCTATGCATTTGTATACACAGCACCTCCAATTACACGGAAAAATAGGGTTTACAGGTTAGTCCGCAGGTAACCACATATACCCAAACCTAACAAGTGAAAATGTGGCTCCCATAGCTTTCAGCTAAGCTAGAATAGGCCTGAACATTTATTTACTCCATGGTCTCCTCCCTCTTCATCTCTCTTTCTAAGATCTATGAAGGGTTGGATCAGCTGACCTCCAGAGGGCCCTTCCCATCTGAATTATTATATGATTATACTGGGTCTCTTTAGGGCACGTTTGCTCACGGAGAATGTATAGAGACATCATAATCTGAGATACATGAATGTTTCTGAACAGAATAACCTCTCCAAAAACAGAGCCTGAAATTCTGGAAAATTCGTAATATTTTCAGGAAAAGCTACTGACACGGAGTTGTCTTTTTTGTAAGGGGAACTTCAGCATCACACTGGAAAACAACAGGCAATGACTTACAAAGATTTCTTTTACTACATAACAAAGTTGCAAATCAGCATATGCATAACATGGTTTTTCATTCAGCTTTCAGTGTCTCTTTACCTCCGAACAGTAACTTGCTACATGCACAACATGCTGCCTTCAGTGAGACCACACACACAGTGCCATGCTTCTCGGCTATAATGTACCCTAGTCTCATTCTAGGTGAGATGTTTACAGGTGTTCAAGTAATCAACACATACAATTCCCAGGGACTTTCAATATTTGCCTTTCTAACAAAGTAAGTGCTTTTAAATACTATAACATAATTTGTAGAGACTCTGAAACCTCCCTTACCTCTTTCTTTACCTCTTCTTCATCTTCCAGAGTCAGTGCGGCCAGCTGCTTAGCTCTCTGCTCCATCAAGTTTACATATCTGATTGGATTGGATAAGGCCTCGATCACGTCTAGAAATAATGCAAATACTTCAGTTTCAAACCCCTTATGTTATGGTTCCAGTGCGCCTCAGGTTTTAAGAAAGAGACTGTATTTTTCACGCAGATCTGCTGCCGATAGGTACTCCTAAGTTCTAGAAACAACAGTGGAGGGGAGTACACCATCATGCACAAATACTCTAACAGGAACCCTCTTTGAGTTTGTGCTTGGGTCTCGTGGATGTGCATTTTCTGCACAGTGTTTTATGATGGATTTTCAAAGCTTACAGCATCAGCCAACTAGCATTCTGCTTCACATGAGGCACAGAGGAGCATTAGTAAAAATTCTGGTCTTAAAAAAATCAAAACAGCTGTACAGGATACTGTTCTTCACTGAAGAGGCACAGTATGGTCTTTAAACCTATCCCTGTTTAGAGCCGATTCCAAAATACAATGCTCTGCAATAAGCACGGCACTTTGCTTAGGAAACAATTACATACTACTGTGTCACGTAAGCAAAGTTTCATTTGTGTTTCAACGGCAAATGCCTGGGGTATTTCCTCCTTTAGAGTCATACAAGGCCTGCTGAAAATAAAAGAGTTGGCCATAATCCTAAACCTCAGGCAGGCCGCTGTAAATCAGGCCATCTTGTATGAGTGATGAGACATAATGATCCATCAGATGCAGAGGTTTGTTCACAGGAACTGTTTTCCCAATATGGCAAGTCATCTACACCACATTAATTTTGTGTTTCAATTAGCCTTTATATTTCCCAGTAGGAATATGTCACAGAATTACCTGCATAAGTATCAGGTACATAGTCTTTGACCTCTATGTACACAAAGAGAGCTGGCAGTGTCAAAGGTTGGTTCCTCTCATTCCTCAAACAGATGTAGTGATAGCCTGCAAAATAAGAAACAACCAGTTCAGAGCATAAACTCTTCCACGGGCCTTTCCAATGTAATTGTGTTATCATTTCATTTGTTATTTATAATGTGGCTCCAAATGAGCAAGCAACCCCAGGGACTTCTGGTAGGAAGAGATTTACCTGAAGGGTTTCAGAGATAAGTATACAGACGGGACTGCTAGAAAGGCACATGACAGTGCAGTTTAAAATAGTATTTTCCCTTTATTTTTACATCTGTGAATAATGCTAAAAATTGCCATTTATATAATTTTTCATGCATTCTATTTTATTGCTTTTGGCTGGATTTTTTTTTTTTTTTTACTTTTCAGAGCTCTTATTTAATTTTCAAAAGTGACCCTTGTAATACTCAGGAATCTGAACAGCCAAGTAAAACTGAGATGTAGTAGTCCATCCACAACACAGTATCTAATTTAAAAAACAGACGATGTAGCACTATATCTACAAAGTGTGTGTATATGAATCCTATCAGGTGACCAACCTTAGAAATATATCTGAAAAAAGAGTATTTTCAGACTGTTTTGAAAGCTGGCTGTCTTGTAAGAGTAAGGGTGCATATTACAGAGCAGCTTAGCCAAGTTAAGGGTGAGGCACCACAGATGGGGCAGCCCCAAACCCTTTCTCCCAGCCACCTACCACCATCACCTCTCTTGTGCACTGACACTTTTCCGACTTCGTAGATAGGCAGCTCAGCAAGCTAAACTCTGGAAAAAGCAACCTTCAGAAACTGTGAAGAGTCTCCCATCAATTTAGCTCCCCAAAATGCCTCACCATAAGGCTAGACGTATTAATGCCAGTTTAAAGACAGTGATGGCAGTGCCCAAGTAGGGGTGGGAGAAAGGGACTTGCAGTCCCAACGAACTGTTACAGCATCACAGCGCTGCAAAGCTGCATCCTCTGCCTCACAAGTTGGTGCCTGTTGCACCATGGTTGAAGCTGTTCTTCTTAGGCATGATTACGGAGCCGCACATATGGGTAGTGTCAAGATACAAGTCACGAGCAGGATACACTTATCTGGGGGGATCCTCACTTGGCTGTTGTGAACAAATTCCTCTCCAAGTAATGGTTAAATCCTTGCTTTGGGAATAATGGTAATTCTGTGGATTCGTGTGACAGTATGATATAGTTTTCAGTAATGTCTCAGGAAAGAGAGAAATTACGTATTACAAAGGTTTCTCAGTTCCCTCAAGCTCCTCCAGCAAATTTTCAGCATGTACACAAACTAAAATCAACATGCTGTTCTCCATCACACGCTGTAAACCAACGATTACTGGAGTCAAAAGGACAGAAGATAGGCCTTCGGGTAAAAGCTCTCGAAAGTCCTTATATGGTTTAAAACAGTGGCCTTTGCTCTAAAAAGCACAAGCTTAAAAGGAGGTACATGATTCAGTGCTCTGCTGAATGGACTCTGTGCTGCATGGAGGGTGAGTGCCATGAAAGGGGATCAGCCGCGGTAAGAGTTCACTTTCACCAGAAGAGGGAAATCCTTCACATCCCCCTTTCTCCTCTCCAATCCCCTATCTTCCTCTGGAGCTCGGCAGATCCCCCATGAGGCAATTATATCCATTAAGCCAGGAGAAAACAGTAGAGAGTTTTCTGCTGGATTGATAAGCTGAGTTGGCTCACAAAAAAAGTGTGGAGATTGGCAGAGCTGGCACAACAGAATGGCCAGGGAAACATGGCCAAGAGCAGGGTAGAGAGAAGGGAAGGAGAAGGGAAAGAAAAGTGACAACTGGTGAGGAAATCCTGGAGCAGTGACATGCCCAGGAGCCACCTTCCATGGCTAGCCTGTTTGCGCTTGCAGTGAGGCCATGCGACCTGCACCAGCTAAGACAAAACCACTTGGAGTTCTTCTTTGAAGACTCCTGACATCATCTGCCACAAGAGAGAAGGGACTGATTTATGCACTACCTGAGATCAGGTCTCCAGGAATAATATGGACAACGGCTGCTAGATACAGGGATATGCGAGTTTTGTGCTGCTGCTGGGACTGGCTAGATAAGGTACAGGGTACATACAGATATTCTTCCTTTTCCAGTGTGAGTGAAGCTGGGAGCATGTTTATGGCCCATATGCTTGCCCTAATTTAGTTTCCTCCCCTCCCCTCACTGGAAAAGCTGGCGCTGAAGTCGAGTGTTTCTCTTGCTCAAAATGGCAATGTCACTGCATCTTTCTGAAACATGATCTCTAACAAGTCTCTGGCCTGGAAAATAAGGGCTGAGTTGTTGCACAAGACAATTTTCAGTTAAGTGGCCACTAATTATAATAGAAATAATTATATGGTTTGGAATAGACCAGTAATTATTTTTTTTTTTTTTTTAAATTTTCAGCAATAAAGATGAAAGTAATTTTGGGTTGATTTAAAGATTTTGCAGAGATACAACAGCTTGCATATAGGTCAGTCCTTGCATGCATGTAAAAACCACATTAGAGGAGCATATTTTGCTTTCATTCCCAGCAATCTCCCATTCTTACAAAGATGACATCAAAATTGGCTGTCGCTGCCCTCTTTCCTCTTAAGAGTGTACAATTGCACTTTTTAACATAAAACTGTGAACACGCAGTTGATCTACTAGAGACCAGTAAGTGCCAACCATGCCTCTGATGCTCAATTCTACTGGTTTTCCTGGTTCATTAAAATCTAAATTTCTGGTGAAATATGGTATTTTCCTTTTCAAAGTCGAGACAGATTATTCAAATCCCCAGTTGCTATAAATCTGCAGAGTGGCTGCTGATTTACAGCACTGGGATTCTGGCTTGCTGCTTCTTTTCACTACATTATGTTTGCCTCAATGGAGAAAAAAGTTTACCTGGTCGAATTGCTGAGACTGGTAATATCCGATGACCAATAAATTTCCCTCCTTCTTCATACACTGCTAGCCTCAAACATGCCAGGGAAGGTAAAACGACCTAGAAGGCAATATTGTTGCATTATTAACTTTCTGCTCTGAATGAAACAGTTCCTTCCAGACATCGGCTATACAGTAACATCTACACATCCATGGGAAGGTCTTACCATATAAGAGGTCAGGGTCTATGCACCTGTGTGTCAAAATAACTCTCATAGAAACATTTTTCAATCAAACTTAATGTGGGACGTGTGCATCGTATGTTGAACCCAGCAATTTGACCCTACGTTTTCAATATGATACAAGGGACTTTGGCAGCTCAACTCCTATCACACTTGAATGCCACTCTGTTTTCTGCTTATTACTCACAGCCCTGCACGGTTTTCTTCCCTTGTGTTTGTGCCAACGGGATTACTCACTTCTGAGAAAAGTCACTGATAGGCATATTAGTGTTGAAAACTCAACAAGCAACTCAACCTGTTTTGCAGAGTGTGAATGTATGAATTACATGAACCATGTCAACCCCAGTAGAATCTTCCAGTGCTGCAGCACACTCACTGGCTGGACTAAAGAGGTTTAATCAGGCAGGATGTTTACTAGCAGTGGATGCTTTCTTGGCACTACATAAGAAAGAAGGCCAAACAGTGAAAAAAGAAGACAAGAAATCAAAAAAGGTTACTTACACTACCCTACTAAGATAGGAATCTTTAATATTACTTTAAAAAAAAGTGTAGCATAATTAATCTAATTTTCTTACTTCATGCAAATATACATACGAATACACATATTTTTAACCTGGGCACAGACATGCATTTGTTCAGAACATATGCTAAAATTCATCTAGAAAATGAAAGGGGGGGAAAAAAAAAAGCAACAATCCAAAACGAAGCATTTATCTAATTTATTTTCAAGATTACTAAAAATAGTAATCTATGCTTTTCTGAGCACAGAGGCAGTCAGGCACGATCGTTAACTAAATAGAGAAATGAAGTACACTAATTAGAAGTTCATTACAGAAGAAAAATGCTAGTGATGTTTCCAAACTTAAGCTCTGGCAGGCTGCCAAAGGAAAGTCATTCAGAAGGCCAAATATTCAGGGAAAAGGGCTGTACTCCCTAGAAAGCAGGGCTGCAAGTACCAATTGTATAAACATCTCTGTGAACTACATTTGCCTAGAGAGATACGAAAGAAATTCTTTTACAAACACTGGACTCAGGATCCACCTAACCACAGCGCCCAATAAGCAAAACTCAGAAATCCTGTTAGAAAACTGGCTGCCAAGTATATTGTGAAGTACAGCAAGACATTCACGTTGCACAATCCTAAAACATGCTCAGTATTTTCTGCTCCCTCAAAGTTTAGAGAATTAAGTCTGAGTAATAGTGTTCAAATTGCATGAGTAACTCAGGAGCCTACGTCTCATTGCAAGTGGATGGGATTTATGTGGTTTCATCACCAAGGTTGGATTTATATAGCACAATCTAGCGCTAAGCAGAGATAACAGATTGCTTTGAATGTGTTAGCTTGGACAGCCAGATTGTTATAGCTGTATTTGCATCGTCTTGCTCGCAGGTTAACAGGATCCGCTTTTCAGCAGGGCTCTTCAGCCACGGCAAAACAGTAATTCAGCTAAACTGCTTCTGGGATCTGTGCTTGCTCGTTCATAGCATGGCACTGCACCGTGCCATGCAGGTGAGTCTATCGACATGTCTGCTGTTTCCAGCTGCATCAGTGAAAGAATCAAGGTGACTTTAAACTCATTTATTTAGTAGGAGCCGGCATGACTAGAGTAGTAAAATTACACCAAAAGTGGTTAACAATAAACAGTTCAAGAAACAACTGTTTGGAATCTCTTTATCTTCTTTCTAACAAATGCAAAGTTTCACTAATCCACAGAATTACTCTACTGGACAATGCACATTTGGGAAGCAAGCATTACTGACCTTCTTAAACACTATGGTTTCCTCTTCCCAGACGGGATTAACTGCATTGCCTTGAGAGGTCTTGGTTTTCAAAGCTTTTCTTCTTGTATCCACAGGCAGGCCAAACATATCAACTTCTACATAGGTACCGACTTTTTTATCAGAAAGAAACTGACCTGAAATTATCTAAAACCAAAACAAAGGAGGATCACTAGAGACAGCTTTGGTGGATTAGGAAATGAGTGGCTGAAATGCAGATAGATAATTCTCATTAATGATCAGACAGTATGCATTTAAAATAAAACCAAAACAAAACCAAAACCACAATAAACAAAAAAACCACTGTTTAATACAGCAGACGCAGAAAAACAACTTAAGAGGCCTGATTTCCTGTGACCCTGTGGTGCTGAACTCCCTTATGAGCGATAATGTGGTTGAGATCATGCTGCTGTCCTTCCCTCAGCAAATCTCATTCCTCAATCCGGCTGCCTATTTCCACAACACAGTATCTTTGAGAACTCTCGTTTCTATCCAGTTTCAACAACAGGTTCAAAAAATGCTGGAAGAAAAGAGGTATAAGCAGCAGAGAAACTATGTATGTTTTTAAACTGGGAGGGAGAGAACAAGCTAAAAAGTTGGTATTCTAATAAAGGCTCTTCACAGAGGGTGAGGAGTTTTAGTATGAAAACAAGACAACTATAAGATAGCTGGTCTTTTCTACTTCTTATTTTTAACAGGAAACACAACTCTCAGCTTTCAAAAGTTAAAGGCAGGCCTGCAATTACTTCAGAAAATGGAAAAGGCACAGGAATATGTAGCAGTGTCACATTCAGGCTTGCCTAAAGCAAATCTTAATCTGTTCTCAGCTGTATCTTGTATGGGCATTAACATTATAACCAGCAGAGTCTTCACCAAGCAGGCAGAAGCAGCTGAATGACTCCTGGATGTTCATTCCTGTTAAAAATGCTGTGCATCTCCTAATAGCTATTGAATGACTTCCACCTCCATTTACTAAAATTACAGAAGAAAGTGCCCCTAAACGCACAGGAGGACCTGAAAGCTTCCGTGGTTACAGGTCACCACAAAAGGTCATTCCCACAGAGTCATCTTTTTTTACTATGCGTGTCACCGGATTATTACTTTATTCATATCCCTCCCAGCACTGCTCTGCTACGCTTGTGTCTGCAGCCTGAGAGGAAACACTTGCTTTCTCTAACAGAAAACAGGAGGATATTTTGCAGGTGATTCTATAATACGGACACTGTTCTAACGGACAAGTCCATTAAAGGAATAACAGGACTTCAGAAAGTTTATGTTTGTATAACTAGAGATATACCAAGTATAAATTTGTGATCCTGTCATAGCCAATGCAATCTATCCCTCTAAACATTCATACAAGTGGTTTTCAATTTGCAGTTTCCTGGTGGTTCTTGAACTTCATTAGAGGTCCTTAAAAAGAAATGAAGAAAAGCAAGTTGGCAATGAATTGCAGCTGACATTTATGGTTGCCCAGTTCTGCTGGAGAACTTACAGAGAACCAGAAAATTTATTTATACTAAATAGTGTACTGTTCTAGCTATTCCAGTGCAACCTACCGCTTCATAACAGCCTGTTTTAAATTCAGCTCTTTGTTACTAAAAACACAGCCAAACTACCCTAAAATCCATTCACTTCCCAATTACTTCTATGGAAAAGAATACACACAATAAAAATACATTTATTTATCCTACAATATGAAATGTGAGGCAGAAGATCCTCTGCAATTTAAGAATGAAATGTCCCTCGATGAAATGAAATGCATTTTATTTTCTTGACTTAGTATGGTCATTTGCTAGGCTGCTGCATAACAAATATATCTATGCTCCAACATTGTCATGAGAGCAGTTTTACCAGCTGCATACATACCTTGACAGACAAGGTGTTAGCTACTATTCCATCCACTATACTTTCAGTAAATGGATCAAAGTGCTTGTCTGGTCTTCTCATGAATTCTGGCTTTAACCTGTATCCGCTTTTGCCGTTGTATTCGTACATTCCCATGTTTATTTGCATAGACAAATCTAGGTGTTAAAAATATTGATAAGAACAACATCCTGGTGAGATGACAATTTAAAAAAGCAATAAAATAATACTATTTATTGTAATTTCAAACTGACTGTAATGTAAAAAGCTATTTATGGCACACTGTTGCTTGTTAAAAGAGGTTTCAGATGTGATCGCAGCCGCTCGCTTGGATTCTTTTGACTCATTTCATAACATTTTCACATTTTAAAAGAAGCCTTGATACTTAGGTTTTGAGTCCCTCAGTGTTGCACTGTTGTACCCGACCCAGCAAAGTACTTATGTTTCTAAACCCTTCTAACATCAGAAACCAGGCGCTTGATACTTGGTTGAAACTGGCCCAAAGAAGTTTTTACTACTCTGCAGACTCCCAGACTGTGTAGGGTTTTGGTTTCCATGGAAAGGCGGTGTATACGTGGGCACAACTGGAAAGGAAAAATGGAATGATACCATGGTACCATGTGCCCAGAAGCAGAACATGGTCAGGATATATCCTGGCATGCAGTAGATGGAAATATCTGTATGTCTCAGAACAGACATAGGCTTGGAAGACAACACATTCTATTTCAGAAGTGACTTGTGCTTCTAGGAGCCCAAATGTCTTTGTTTCTTAAACACTCACTTTTAAAGTGGAATTTACTGTCCAAGTCCCTTTTGTCTTGATATACTGAGATTTTGGAAGACACAGGAAAAAAATCCCTGCCAGATCTGACATGTTGCTCAATGGTACAAATGATGACAAAATATGGAGGGCATTATGTATGCATATTATACTAGCTACAGCATGGTAATTATGAATATTCCTAGTTAAAAAAAAAAAACAAACCAACAAACCTGTGTTAAAAATGTTAATTAACAGCTCTGTAGTATCATTCAATCACTAGACATCTTTTGATGCATAAAGCCTTTCCTACCTACGAATCAGAAACTGTAGCAGAGAAGTGGTAAGGTACACTTTACAAAATATAGAGACGAGCATAACTTACCCACAGTTTGGAAGTTAAGAGCAACCATTTGGCAGCCAGCATTCCAAAAGACTTGTGGCATGTAGTTTGAAGAATCTACACGTGTTCCCTTTGGGTAAATTCGGCTTAGCTGCATTTTGTTGTATCTAAATAGTGAGTAGTTAAGATACAGTATGTGTGACAAAAATCACTTTGCAGTGACGCTTCCAGAGGTCCACAGTTTTGTAGGAGATATGATAAATATGGGGTAACTAAACGTGCTGTTTGTTGCTGTACAGAGTACTCGGAATAAACAAGGAAATAGCACAGGCATATGCATTAAAAAGATAGCATTCATAAAATTCCATTTATCATTATGGTTACTAATTTGGGATTTTCCTAAGATTGCATTTATAGCTGTAAACAGCAAATCTTCCTCTGATGGGGGAGAGGTGCTCAGTTAAAAAGTAAGTGCTCTTCTGGAATAAGCATTAGAATTGGCCTCTACATACAGACAGAAATGATGAGTGTGCACTTCTTTTAGTTGAGTCTACAAATCTCAGAGATGAGAACATGCTGCAGGTTATCTGTGGAAATAGCTTTCCATTAATCTTCTTTAAGGCGTTATTTTATCTTGACCATTCATTCTTAACTGCAGCCATGATGAGAGACATTGAGAAACATCAAAAGGTCTAAGAATGCTCCTTAGCTTTTCTTTAAAAGTTATGAAAAAAACCTAAAGAAAAAAGAGAGAATTGTGTGGCAATAAAATAGCTCAGTGCTCTTAGGATTAGAGGTATGATGGGAAAGCAAGCTCTCTTGCATGACTTTCCAAAAAACTGTCAGCCACATTTTGACAATTTGCTCACATAACTCATACCACCTCATATAGGATGATAAATTTAACAATGAGAATACAAAGTATCAGGTCTTCAATATGTAGTTTATGCCTATTCCCTCTAGTCCTAGCCCACAGCACAAGGACTTATGCCAGCTTTTAAATTAGCTTATCAGAACTCAGGCCAATTAATTCATCTAGGAAGACAGTCAAATCTACAAATTTCATTTGGGTTCCCTATTTCCCCAGCTCCTGTCTCCAAATTTCAATAAAGCCCTGTAACAGATCTCAGACATAGAAAGGCTAAGAAAGCAGCTTTCTGAAAGTCAAGGATACTCCACAAATTCCACAGGAGACTTCGTAAGTTGCTCAAGCCCTTTGGTTTCCACAAAGGAAGACATTTCAAAACTTTTGTTGCGTTCTGGAAGTTTAAAGGGGAAATAAACACAGTGACACATTAGAGCATGAAATCATACGCGATACATGAGCTGCAAACAACTGGTTTAGTCCCACTCCCCCTATCCCATCGACTGTTCACCAGCTCATTTCACCTTGATCTCAAAGAATTTACATACACCACCGTTTGCGGGCAGAATAAGCTCACTCTGCGCATACTCAGGAGCTCCATCTGAACTCAGATTAGCACTGTCCGAATGAAGGGCATTGGTACCGCCTGAGATTGCTACTGTGCCAGCTGCAGGCAACAGGAAGTCAGTGCTCGGGCAGAGATCTCTCATGTTTGCTTGCAAAATACCACGTTGATATATTTGAGAGACAGAACCCAAAGCTCACAGGTGTGACGCAGAAGTATTGTAGCAGCTTTTGTGGGGAACACAGAGGGCCCTGCTGGATCTCTAGATTGTCTTTGCAGACAGATGCAAGGGCTTTGAGCCAATTTGAAGCTATAATAACTAATGTCCGTATCAGATTAAACTAAGCAGTGCGCTAGCTGTGCCTACAGCGGTTCTCGTTATCTTCAGTATGTCAGGGTAAGGTCACATCTGTCTTAAACAGTCATGGAAACATTGCTATCTAATCAAGCCTGAAGGTACACTCCTGTGTCCCAGCAGGTCTTCAGACCTAACCCGAAACTAATATGGAGCTTCTATGACCTCTTTAATTTGGTCAAACTTTCTGACCTGACAGTGGTGGAAAGCTCCTCCTAAGCTTATAACTCAGTAGGACTAAACATTCATTTGTGTATCGTTTGTTACTCACCTTTGCCTGTTGTGTGCACAGCCTTTCAATGTACCCATGCGACATGCTGTAGCAGAGCGCCTAAATCAAGACCCTTCTAGTTTCATTATTTTTTCTTTTACACTTTTGTACAGAAGGTAAGGATTCGTGTAAAATAATAGCTTCCCATTTCATCACAATCAGCTGTGATGAAGGGGCCACAGCGCTGGGAGGTCACATCCATTAGATATCTCAGCACTGCTCTCTTTAAAAATGAGGGAAATGGTGTCTGTGTTGAAACATGAACTCTCTAGCGTCCCCACTTTATTGAAAGCAAACAATAAGGCAGAAAAAAGGCTTGCCCTCATCCGGTTTTAGAAGTAGTTGTGCTGCAATCCCTGCAAAGGGATGGCCAGGAGGCCAGCCCGGCCAGCTCCTTGAAGTCAAACTGCGAAGCTGCAGGAGAGGGATAAAACTGAACAAAAGCACTCGTCTTGCAGAGAGAAGCAGGACAGAAACAGGAGGGCGCTTTCCTTAGAGGAAGCCAAAAAGGAAGCAGTGGATCCAAAGAAATGAGGAGCTAGATTGTTTGGGCCAACGTGAGAGGAAAATGTGCTGCCAGCCTGTGAACTACAAACTATTCTCAGTCTATGTTGAAGAGTCAGAGGATGACCGTGGTGTTCCAAAAGTGATTCTCTCCCTTAGGAAAGCTGGGACTCAGACTTTACTGCAGTCCCTATTTCTAATTAGCAACCATCACGCCATTTTTCATCGCTTTTATCTCCTAATGGCAAAAGATTCCTGCCATTCCCTAGAGGCTGCTCTCCCACCACTCCTCTTCCTTTCCAACAAGCAATATCCTCTCTTTCTCCAGACTCTGTTCCAGCCAGCTCACCTCCATCTCAGCTCCTTATAAAGGCACTGAGATTACTCTTATTCCATCCTTCCCCCTTACTAATGGGATAGCACTAGCAACACAGATATATAGTGGTTTTATTCTATTTAGAATACAGGTGCTAGAATTTGTTGTAGTAATATACTGTATCTCTCAACCTTATCTTAAAGTAGAGCATCTGTAGGAAACCAGAACTGGTAGCTGTTAAATGATTCGGTTACTAAATGTTCAGGGCTTAATCAAACTCCTAATTAAAATAAGAACAATTATTTCCTTGTAGTATCTGGAGAGGATTAAGAAACCTGCCCTTTGAAGAAAAGACTGTGCAGGAGAGACATTTCTCTCCCGTGATACATTACACTGTGCTATCTTACCAGGAGGAGGTTACTATGGAGTGGACAAACAACTCGATTGAAAAACTGCCCGAAAAACTTCAAAAAATACAGTTACAGCTACTTGCTGTCAGAGAGAGGGAACATATCTAGTGAGGGCAATGAGGGGACTGTTACAGATCCAGTGTTATTCAATATTTCTCTTAACAAGCTGGATGCGAGACCAGAAAATGCACTTTTAAAATGTGTGAATGACAGAAGCAGTGAGGTACTGTTATCACCATGGAGGCCAGGATCACAAATCAAAACAAATTCTGAATTAGAAAATATTAAGTCAGAAAAATGCTGTAACACTGAAACAAAACTGTATAAAAGACAAGTATGGAGCTTTACATTTAGGGAAATGAAGTCAGGTGAACAAAAATAAAATCTGGGCAACAATTGGATAAGCAGCAAATTAAAAAACAATCCTCATCTAACTCCTTCTTTATTCAGCTCATCTTCGCTGAATTTGATGAAGGTCCAGCAGTGAGTCCAGGCCAGGACCAAGACCAGAACCCACACGTCATGCTATAGTGCCCGCTGCTTTAACCAGCCAGCAACATTTACCATGTAAGGCCACTGCTTTAACGAACTGGCCACATTTACCACATAATGATTTTTTCGACACAAACACCAGAAATATTAGTTCCTTAACATTATGAGTTCACAGAAACAGTATGATTGATCAAAGGTCACATCAAGACTTAGGATAAAAAATCTGGATATCAGCAGTTCTTTACGAAAGACAAAACTTGGAAAGGCACAGGCATGTGAACAAAAGAAATCTACACAAGACAATTTTATAACAGCTGCATCAACTTGTCCTGCTAGGATTCACATGGCTTCCTTTCCAGAAGGAATATCTGCTTCCCACTGAGTTCTTGTAACACTCATTAAAGCTAGAGGAGATTATAAACATCCAAAGGGACACTACTATAGGGGACAAGCATAGCCCTCTGCATGATTTTGTGAATGCTTGTATGTACGTCTGTATAAATACCCACATACAAATGAACAGGTAGATAACTTCTTATATGTTTATTATTCATCACGAGTAAATGCAAAATCTTGTACAGAGATGTGGACTTCGGCACCAATTACCTGTCCTCTGCCAAGGCCTCCACAAATCCATAATAAATTAAAATGCTACACACTTCTTCAACTAAAAAGCTCCAAGAGGATATTGGAACCTGTCAAATCAAAGTGAAAAAGGGCAGGCAAACAGTAAGGGGTTCTGCCCCAAGAAAGGAAAAGATGCTGCAGTGTTTACTGAGGATGCCACTGAGTGCATTCCTAGCAAGGCATCTTCTGTAAAAGCCAGCAGGCGATAAAATTATGGCCTTTTCTATACAATACACAGAGGCAGGAAACAGTGAATTTGCATACGGGGAAGGACAGACCCTGAATCCTCTATAAAAGTAGCAGAGGCAAAATATAAAGCACTTGGCTCAGTCTGTAGGAATATTTGTCACCACCTTTCTCAAACTGCTTAAGTTACTCTTCAGTCATGGACAACAAAGACAATGTAAGTACAACATTTTCAAAAATGTTTTTGAAATGGCAGCACGTTTACTGCTGATGAAGTTTGATATTTAGACCTGCACAGGTTTCAAAATAAATATGGATTTATTTGGCTGGATAACAAGGGAACGTCTTCTGTCTGTGTGCCTGTATTTAACCGAGAGGAAGCCAAGTAGCATTTCTCCAGAACTTTCTTCCAAACACTTGCTAGGTAATTTTCAGTACAAGATGTTGCTCATGCTTAGCTTACTTACTTTTTGATACTTCAAATGACTCAAACTTCACAGGCTGAATGTAGTTCACCAGGTTAGACATCTCTTCCGTGGCCATAGCCTCACTTCCAGCAGTACCCTAGGACAGACAAGGGAAAATGCTGCAGTTTTGATCTGTCCATGGTGGCCATCAGAGGCCACAAATACCAAAGCCCCGTTTTCTATCAACCATGGTATCTTTCACTGATCCTGGCGTAGTGAAGACAATGCCTCACATAGTAAAGAAGAAAATTTGCTATAAAATGTAAATGTTTATTAAACTGCCGCTGTAATCATTCTTTTTACGTGGCTCCTAGGGAAGGGACTGCATTACCTTTACACATGCATACTGCTGAGCACATTTATCGGTACTGTTGGGTAAATAATAAATACAGCTCTAAGTTTTTGATGTCAAGTTTTTCTTCCAACAATGCTAAATACACCACAAGTAGTTGTCTAAAACAGATCAGCTGTGGTGCTATTAATTCTTATTCTTCAGTAAATGAAAATATAAATAAACAAAGATGTGCTTCCAAACCGATTAATAACCAACTTCAGAAAGTTGGTGGTGTGTTTCCCAGTGCTCTGCTTCCCTTTCTCCACTAGATGGTAGTCCCACTCCTGATAACACAAGCCAACCCACAACTGCTGGAACCAACCCATCACCATGAAACATATCTACACCCTTACTTCATCCATCGACGACTTTTTACAGTCATCATCATAGTCATCATCATCATCGCTCTCAATCTCTGCTTCTCCTGAAAAGTTTTAAGCAGAAGATAATTACTGGCTGAAGCAATAGTTATAATTACCAGCGATAAATTCGAGAAAGATGTGCAAGGAGCACTGCTTGAAGGAGACTACATTGTACGTGTCCTTTTTGTCACAGCACAAATCAAATACACTGCCTCGAGGGATTCATCTGTCTTCAGCATTGATAAGTTCTTATTGCCCGACCAAACAAAAACTCTTCCTTTGCAGCTGCTGGATGCTCAGTGTTTGGAAACCATGGGGTAGGTATCAGCGTTGTGGTGTGTGTAGCAGTGTGTAGGTATAGTATCACAAACTACTCTGAACAGATGTTCCCATGCTTGGGGCACAGCCCCGGGGTTTGGGAGATGCGAGTTCAAATTCCCGCTCTGTTGCAGGATCCCTGCAGGACTTTCAGTGAATGCCTCACCCCCTCCGGGAAGTGTACATGTAACAGCATGCACGGGGTGAAGCAATCATGCATGAAAATTGATGAGATTCTCATGTGCTGTGGTATCAAGGGCTGTTCAGCAAAATCCATCTGTTCTGAACGTATCGCAGTACACGTACTGAGGCAGTGCAGCTGGGAGGATCTGCCACAGGAGCCTAACTGCAATAGCTTGACTTCAATTCCCTTCATGGACTGCTTTGGTGTGCCTTACTGTTAGGACTCCGGTGGCATAGCTCAAATGCACCGGCTGAGGGCAGTGCAAATCAAATAATGTGAAGAAGATGCATAAGACTCATCCTTTCCCTGAAAATGTACTGATGGAGTAAATGGGACCAAATAAAACACATTTTATGCCTTGCTCCCAATTGCAGTGTACTCATCAAATTCCTATGGGCAAGACACAGATTCTTCATTGTTAATTAACGAATGCCTCCCCTAGCCTCCAAAATGTTTTGATTTGGTTGCACCAGAAATTAAACCATTAAGGAATATCAAGCTTATCTTTCTCTTTACTAACTCCTCCTGTGGGTCTGGCTGTCATAACGTATACACTGTGCATCTTAAGAAGACTCTGGAAAAGAACGTTTAACTTACACTGCAGTCACCTATCCACACCTATAGGATTGACAACTCTCCCTAAAGATTTTATTCCACAAACCTTTCAGCTTTCTTCAGCAGTGGCAATTTTATTTTGGCAGCACAAAAATCTAACCACTGTGCAGCATTCCCAAACTCTCCAGAGAATGGTAATTCAGTCTCAGTTCCTCCTGTCAGTTTAGGGTCTAATCCAAAGCCCACTGAGTCAATAAAGAAACTCCTCTTTGTTCCAGCAGGCCTTGAATCATGCCCAGTTGGTCCCTTCTGAACATGGAGAGCACATATGATTTAAATAACGAGTGTGCCTTTCACAACCAAATGATGACTACCCAGGCTGCGTTTCCTTCCAGATGCAGATGTTGAAATGTCAGGCTTTTATTCATGAACACATTTCTTCTTGAACATTTCATTGAAGAAAATAACATGATTGCTCAACAGGCTCAAGGGATGGCTCAGGGAACCTCAACACATTGCAGAGAGCCAGCCGAGCTCTCACAGGATTTGCAGTGACAATCTTTGGATGGGAAGCTCTCAATTGATTTAACCAGACAGGCAAAATAACACTTCGCACAGTCCACAAAATGGGGGACATGAGCAGATTTCAGCCAACTTGCACTGCTGAGATACCAGGTAGACGATAGCTTGTTCTTACTAGAAGTGTCCAGGGAGGAAAGTACGCAACACATTATTAATTTATTTTAAAATATTTAACAGGAAAACTCCCAAGGAGATCAGATCTCATTTTCAAGTTCTGCATCAGACAGCAAAACCAGGACAAATAATACATGGGATTGCAAACACAGAATAAAAATTAGTAAGTGTTTTAGAAAGTCTGACTACATCTGCATTGCCTTTCACCCAGCAGCATGGTCCTACACTCAAACCAACCTTCTTTTCCCGTTACGCTGCTGGGACACAAAGTCAGAGCAAGCCTTGGCCAGACTGAGGAGGTGTCTGTGCTGCGGACGCCTCCGTGCTCATTGGTGGTGGGATCAGCCCCATGCCATCACTCCTATCCCTTCCCAGGAGGGCACAGACACTGTGTATCATAAATGCACGTGGGCTGGCATATGCAGCTGTGCTGCAGGTCAAGTCCAGTATGTACATGTGAGCTTGTCTAAGGGACAACTAGCTGTAATGGCATAATTATTATTTGCATTTAGATGGGACTACAAACCCAGGTCAGGACAGGACCTTTCCATGGTACGTGGCACACAAATACAGTGAAAATGAGAGCCCTGCTCCAAGGGCTTGCCCTCCAAGTACGAGACAAGAGCCTGTCCGTGGACAGAGGCACACAGAAGAATATCAAGAAATAAAAAGATGTTGCTCCCTACCACAATAGGTAAGTTACAACACAGATACTGTCAACCGCTCATAGGCAGAAGGGCACAGGAAACTTCTCAGTGGAGTAATGGGGCAGTTTCAAGGATGTTTTCAAGGAGCTGCCCCTAGCAAGTGGGGCAGCGTGGGGAAGGCATAAAAGTGCTCATTGGGCAATGTAACAAGTGGACAAAGGAGGCCGAATCCCAACTAATGGGTAGAGGGGTTCAACACAGTAATACTTAATGGAAGATGATTAGGAGAGGAGAGCTGGGAATGACAAGCCAAATCCCTATTACCAAGGGTTGAGGAAGCAGAGTGCTAAATATTATCCATTCTCCCCATGCCTCAGCAGCGTGACAGGTATTCAGAGCCTAATAAAATGAAAGGTTATACATCGCTTGAAATTTAGAGGAATTTGGTAATCTGCTTTCTCAGACCCCTTTAAAATAACAGCCAGAACGGATTATAAATGTGGTACTTGCTGGCGCAGCTTGTTAGCTCTGTCACATTTAGGCAGCCACGAGCATCTTGGGGGGAGGTGGGGGGCGAGTGAATCACCTTTTCTTTTTTCCACAGGCTGTACATCAGCACTTGCTGATTTTTAAAGGGAAAAAATGAACTTTATTCAGTTTGCTAAGACATTTTACTTTGTAACAGCGGGCCATGGCCTCAGCTGGCATGCAGTAGCAATGTACCAATGCATTTACATACACTTAGCCTAAAACTTTTAATCCAGTTTTCTATTTACTTATCATGAAATGATGGAGCCAATTCTACCCTCTCTCTCTGTCTTACTGTGACTCTTCCCCTGCTGCACCCACTACTCTGTCAGCCTATCAGTGAGAATGAACAATTTGCTCGAAAATTTAAATACTGTTCAATTAGCAAGTTTTGGCTACTTTCAGTATAGGCCTACTTTGAATAAAATGTATGTACCTGCAGAACTGCCACTGTTCTTTTTGCAGTGTAATCTAACTTCTTTGAAAATCTTGCTTATTTACTTCCATTCATTGTGCTAAAAGAATCAGGTGTAAGATGCTTGTTTACCAAAACGACAATCTATCTCACAAGTGTTATTTCAGAAATTCTTTTTCTGCTTTGCCAGCTTTGCCGTACCTTTAGGGAAAGCTTTTTCCACTGACAGATACTATAGTTTTTACATCAGTTTCATGAACATCTTGCAAGTCATTCTGCACAGCTCATTTCAGAATTGTTTTTTTAATTATAATTAAATACTACTATATCACCACCACCTAGCTTTTATATGATATGTTTTATAAATATATCAAAAGGGTGGTTTATTTGGGTTTAAATCTGACCTCAAGCAGTGTAAGACACAGTGAAGCTTGCTATCAACTGAAGTACGAATCTCCATATTTTTTGCACTGCTGTGAAAAAACTCATTTAAAATCTCAAGAAGGCTAAATCAGCACAACTTCCTCCTGGAGATCAGCAGTAATTCTGACAGGAGCTATACAATACAATAGACTTATTTGAATAATACGCCCTGCTTGCTAAATGTAAAAATTATATTAAGGTTGAAGTATTGAAACACGTCATGTTAAGAAATGTTAAGAATAAGGCTTCCTTTAGTCTTTAATTGCATTATTCCTTTCATGTTCATGAAAGAACTTGGTACTGGGCATAGAGGAGCATAATGCTTGCAGTGCTCCAGCATTACATGTTGTCGATATTGAGATGCACATAAGGAACGAGGCAGTGAAAAGAAGGGTGTCACGGTGACTGTTGAGCACTGCCCCATGGAACCATGCTCTTCGCTGGGTCTTGCCACAGCGGTCTTATAAAATGCTGCATAATTTTTTTTTTTAAATGTTGACAGACAGAAATCTGGCATCTGATTTACAGAAATGTTGCGTGCTCATAGCTGTAAACTGTAGCTGAAATCTCTGGAGCTGTGCTCTGAATACTTAAAAATTCGAAGTATTCTTGAAAAATCAGATCCTGGATGTTCCATGTCAGTCACCCCTAAACTGTTCTTAAGGTCTCTCAGACTCGGCTGTCCTTAGATAAAATTGGCTTAATGTTATTTCACTTCCCACAGGTATAGAATAGAATCACAGAATCATAGAATCATTAAGGTTGGAAAAGACCTCTAAGATCATCAAGTCCAACCGTCAACTCAACACCACCATGCCCACTAAACCATGTCCCTAAGCGCCACATCTACACATCTTTTAAATACTTCCAGGGATGGTGACTCCACCACTTCCCTGGGCAGCGTGTTCCAGTATTGTTCAGGTAAATTCACTGCTGTTTGTCAAATGCTCATATGCAGCCTGGATATCCCCACAGAAATTCACTGCAAGATGAGGATGCCACATCTAGGATCAAGTATTGAATGACAGAGAGAAAGAATATTGACTAACTGCATTCTCCAAAAGAGGCATAGGCCCTAAAGCAGAAACAATGGCTGACAGAAGGATTACAAGTAATATATTTTGGCAGTCACAGACGAACCAAGTGACCACATCAATTTTGCAATCTCAGTTCTAGCATTTCCTAATTTGTAAGTGCGCATCTTCACAATCTACAGTTAACAGAGGTTGTTATATAGGTAATACAGCCATAATATTCACAGTTAATTTGTAAAATGACACACCCTATTATGGGACTGAGCCCCCTGCCTTGATCATCACCAACATCTAGATTCACAGCCCAGGTCTTTTCCTCTAAAAGCTCACAGAGAGGCTCCTGAAAGACAAAGCTGTACCCTCTACGCAGGGCAGGCACTCAGAAAGCAAAAGACATGCTTTGCCACTGGGTTCTCACTATGTGCTGGCAACAAAAATGTAGAGTTAGGAACCCAGGGTTGATTTCAAGTGTTGGAAAGGAGTCAGTCGGCATACACACACTTATTTTTGTGTTGCTTGGGATTTGTCTAAAGCAAATCAAGAAAACAGTATTAAATCATTCCCAACACCAGGATGAATCTTCCTTTGAAATCCAAGCCCTACTCCAAAGCCATGCCCTTTTCAAAGTTTCTTACCACAATAGTTGAAAACTCTTTCTTTGCTTCTAATGGGATAAACAATGTTATCCACAAATACAGCAGGATTTTTTTTTTTTTTAGTTCAGCTTGAGGCAAACTGCCAGCATGAAAAATTTCAGCTCAATTAATCAGAGTTTAGAAAAAATTACAACCAAAGGAAAAAAAAATTTTAATGGCAAATAGTAATGAACTTCTATTGCAGCAGAGCTTTCAATTTGCTCTGTAAATATTCTACTACTGGGGCATAAATGTCTACCCTTTTAGAAATCCCAAATTTCAGTCTTAATAATAAGAAGAAATTCTTGTGCAGGGAACAGACACTGGGCTGGGAATCCAGATACACAGATTTTGTTGTTTATCCTGCTGCTAATCTGCTCTTGTGGTTTAGAGCAAATCCTTATTTTATCTTTTTCTCTGCACTTCTCTTTGTCTTTTCTAGTTAGGGTTTAAGCTCTTCAGGACAAAGACCATCTCTTACTAATTTTTGCATACCAACACTCACAATGGTCCCCTGCAGATCCCATAGGCGTTACCAGAATATATGCATTAAATTACAGTAACTTTTCTATTTAATTTCCGATTTTAAAAATTCTGCTAATAATGAACAAGTTAAATGTAATAACACTGCTTTCCATTGGCTACATTCCCTACAATTCCTGACGGTAACAAATACTTTTCTGCAGTATTATTTTTGCCTGTTTCCATCTCTGGAACAGAAGAACATCTTATAGCACTTTGCATAGAGGTCTGTGATGTGTTCCCAACTAATGTAAGACAACAGCAGGTTGAGCCTCGCCTGCCTGAGGAAGAAATACCTCATTCACAATTATCCTAAATCTTAAGACACTGCAGAACCACTGCAGTTCTCCCGTGCAATGGGTCAAGTCTGAAGGGGCACCAAAGGGTAGGCACATCTCAGAGGCAACAGAAAAAAAAAAACACATTTATATTTGGTATTGGGCTTGGGCACATAGAAAAGGCACCCAAGGGTGAAGGAGTTGGCAGCTTGCTCTACTTCCTAAGCAGTGCAGATATACGTTAGTACACATCACTGAGCTTTACGTCACTCCATAAGTGATTCCTCAGCTGCGAGCCTTGACAGACTCCTGGATCACTGACGCTTAGCATTGCTTCCTACTGAGTAAGGTACACTGGTGTACCTTTACCTTGCTACAGCAAGCTAAATGGATTGAATTATAGCTGTAATTAAGCAGTTGTGTTTTAGGGAGAAATATATTTGCAGATTCAATTCATACCTGCTCCGGGGGAGGAAGGTTCAAACATACTAGATGTATCACTGCATGTGTTGGAAGCTTGCTCCGAGAGCTTCTTTTTTGCACTTCCATCTGCAGACTTATGCGACTTCTTTTTATTCTTCACCAGAATTTTGTACATTAAATCCATAGGGCTTGGAAGAGGAACCCCAGGTTCAAGCTTGCAGAAAAAGGAAAAGAAATTCGTTACAACAACAAAAGAAACAAGCTTATGGCAATTTCTTAGGGCCCACATGGTGCAAGATAATTTTGTAACCTTTATAAGCCCTGTTAAAATGAAACGTATTTTGCACAAGAGGTAACCTCAATATTAAATGAAACAGGGCTACTGAGAGCACTTAAGAAGAAAAGAAAAATGCTTTATGAAATGTCTACAGTAATAACCGAAATAAGTATTAGTTCAAATATGAAAGCCTACATTATAAAATGGCAGCTATGAGAATCAATTGCATTTAGAAGATTACAATTCACTGTATCAGAGCAATCTCTGCATCAGAAATTATATGCTTAAGTCACCAACAGCTCACATTGTTTAACCCCCTCCTTTAGACTCTGTTTTGAAAGGCTGTATATGAAGAATGACACAGGACCTAAACACTTAAATAAATATTCACACAGATATTTGTGCTTTGATAAATACCAAATCATATTACCGGGTATTTTTCCAATGGATCCATAAGCAATGCATCTCCAAATATTAATCTGCAGTACTCTGCCATTTTTGCCTGCTGTTTAGGGCTAAAGGGAAAAAAGAAAGACAGACATGAGTCCGACTAATGCTACAGAGTGAAAGCAGCAATAATGGAATATCTAATATCCCTAAACTAGATATAATTTCCTGATCCAATTGCTGTGGATTTTTCAGAGAGACCTAGATATATCATGCAATTATTCTGATTCCTCTGATAGAGCTTATCAAAAGGATCATACGTGAAGTAAAGGCACTAGTCAATTGAATAATAGTGAAACTGAACTTTTAACATTGAAGTATATTTTCCCGTGCACTTAGTAGAAAATGAAAAAAGGAGGCTGTCAGCTGTTACCTTTAGGGAAATAACCATTATATGAATTTGCCTGTTTTAGGCAACATTTTTATTCAAAGTTTAAATATTTTCCTCCTTATGTTACTTTATACACATGCCTGGCAGTCTTCTCACACACACAGCCCCCCACCCCATTTGGATGACGTTCTCTTTTTCTCATACCTGACCTAAGGCAGAAACCCCAAAACAGTTACACAGAAAGCAGTCTCCTCTGCAGGTGTCTCTGCTAAATTTCGCAAGCCAAGGGTACTTATCACCTCACTCAGCATGTCTATAAGGCACAGCCATACAGAAGAAGGGGCAGATGACATTACTTGGGTCTCAAAACCAGCAAAGCTGCATCAGTTATAGGCACTGGTAGAGAAGCAGCTAGTTTTACTGCAGATTTCTAAAATGCAGTTAGTTTTACTGCAGATTTTCTGCTAAAATGCAGCCCACTTTCCCACCCTTTTTGTTAGCCTGTGTGAGGTGGGTGCTGTGCCTGTGCAGCGTGACAGCCTGCCCAGCCACAGCCCTGCCCGGAGCTGCAGCTGCACCTCTGCACCGTGCTCCACGACAAAGCACTGACCCATCTGCAGACCTCCTGGGCTGGGTTTGCACCAAAAGCTTGCACTGCTCTCGCCAGCTCACTCAGAAGTATTTCCCCTGAGATATCCTCACTGGCAGAAGTCATAGCGTAGATGTAATTGTGCTACTGCTAAGATGTATTATGTCAATTTGGAGAATTGCTGTAGTAAGTGCTGGTATATCTTACATTTTATACGCATATAATTACATACCGCATGCATGTTATGTGTATATAACTGGGACCAACATATCAGGACAGCCACCTTAGTGGGGATCTGGATGTAACAACAAGCTGCTACGTGGAGCTGCTCGATGATCGTTTTAGCTTGTTTGGGTACGTGGTCAGATTCCTTTTTTTAAAATTCTTACGTTTTATTTAAAATCAGATAGAGTGTCAAATTTTACCATAGGAAATTACTTCAGCGGTTTTCATGACATCCTCTAGAAGTAAATTGAACCTCAGTAATCTCTACTTATAATTGATTTTCCCAAAGTGCAACCAAAGAATGAAATAATTCCTGCATATCAGTGACGGGAGTTTTAGAACTGAAGATAGGTTATACTACTCAGAAATGTTACTCAAATCATCTTAAAATGCAGCTCAGTGCTACAGTCACTCTAATTTTAGACGACTGTGTATTTTTGTTATATGTGCCTGTTTAAAATCTGTAACATCTGAGCTTAGGTATCTTTAAAAGTTTCCTTTTTTGATACGCTGTTGAGAAGTCTTGATTAAAGGACAGGTTTATATTGCTTAATATAACTTCCTCAACTACTGTTAATTATGATCTGCATATCATGGAAGATACATGAATGGTATAAGCGTTTATGTTACCATGGAGCTATTTTTCATGACAAAATAGAGCTGGGTATAGGAAAAAAAAGGAGCGCTCATTTTTCTCTTGCAAACTGAGAGTACAACAACCACTGTGTCTAGTTTGTCATTAGCTACCAGCTGAGCACCTGGCACTTGAGCTCTTCCTGGGGTCAGCAAGGCCAAACCAGAGCTGAGATAAAGGCTGGGTGGCATTTGAATCAGAAAATGTAATTTCCCTGAGATCAGCATTCTGGATGTCCCTTGAAGCAGATATGGGGTGAAGCGGTCGTTAGCTCAGTCATTGACAAAACATATTGTGAGGAGGCTTTAAATTATTCCACAAAACTACGCAAGTGCTGCGTGCAGTTTAAATCACTACAGCATTTTATTAATGCTTTCTTTTGCATGCAGCCATCTCTGCAAAAAGCTAAAAGCCACTTTTAGCTGAGGATGGAAAATTAAGATGAAGACAAGCGAGGCAGTGGAACTAAACCCGCAAGGGAGAAGGTGATGGGAAGAATAGATCAGGCTACGACAGCATGTTAGCTACTTCTAACCGCCAGCTACCAAGAAAAATGAAGGCACCTCACTCTAGCAAGCAAACAGACTGGGTGTTTACTATAGGTCTAGGGGTCATTAGAGTGAATTTTATTTCAGTCTTCTCCACCAGCGTATATTTTGAATAGACCCATGCTCTTAGGACCCAGAAAGTTCAAAGGACATCTCCTTGAATCAAAAGAGCACAATTATTGAAATCGTAGTAATTAGATGCGACATTAGCATTTTAAAATGGGCACATCAACTCCAAAAAGAATTCTCGATAGGAATCTCAAAAAAATATGCAAGAGTTAAATCTAATAAATTTCCAACTATCACCACAGCTAGAACAAATTCTTCTGATCTTCTGTGTTTAATTACATGTTTACCTCAAAGAGAGCACAGTGAGAACTTTCATTTTTGCAAAAGAGAAAAATGTGATGTAACGTTATTTTGGTTTAGCGTATAAATTCCAATGTCACTGCATGCCAGAGGCAGAAAGAAGGAAAAGGAAAATTATGTGAAAAACTAATGGTTTTTAATACTATAAAAAAATCTTGCAGTAGTAGACAAGGCCAAAGTAGGAAAGTCTTGACATTACAAAATTACTTGTCTTTGTCAACTGGACTATATGCACAGATATTTTTAAAAGCTCCTAAGAATGAATATAAAATATACAGGAGTACCAGCATTTAACCAAGTGGTATTTTTTGTGTGTTCTCTCTCTCTCTCTTTTTTTTTTTATATATATACA